TTCAAGACTAGAGTGCATAAACCATCACATGCACACATTCTTGGTGGGAGGAGAACAGTAGACCCTTTTTGGGATTCGAGAAGCTTATGTTTACAAGTCATATGATGATTAATGCTATTTATTCATATATTTAATTGTAGCTGAATGAGTTTATCAGAGATGGCAAGACTGTTGCAGAGTTGATGAATGTGGGAAAACAGCTGTTAGGTCAGTTAATATGTTAAACATAAGAGACTCTGTTTTGTCACTTTCCAAACACTGAGACAAGAGTTTAAAATAGGACTTGCAGCAAAGTATTTTGACAACACTTCTCAGTGTTTGGAAATTTGGCAAGACTGTCTCGAGTGTTTGATATAATTTATACACAACTAATTACACTAAGAGAAAAGAGAGATTGAAATGATATCGTAAAAATCTATGCTAATCAGGATAACATGGCTGAATGCTGTCATGGTAATGATTCCCTTTGTTTAAACTTAATGAAATTTGAATACATCAACTTGAAGATAATAGACGAGGGAAAGGTTATTTTCAAGAGTCTCTAAATTAAAATGCAAATTTTTGACACCTGTGAATTTGTGAAAAGCTGTTCTGTGAATGATGATTGAAGTAAAACATATATGTTTCAAACAATCATGCATACCAAGTTTGATTCGTGAAAGACAAATTAAGTTTTGTGACAATAAGATCCTTCCTCACCTGATGCAATAAAAACAAACTTGTTCAGTTTATTGATATGAGTTACTATTAATAGCCATTTTGTTTTTACAATTTTAATGACTTCAGTGAGACAAGGTGGATAAAAACTGCTCTAGGTTTAACATTGCCTGCTAAGTCCTAATCAGACTGGTGCTTGTGGCAACAGATAAAGGCAAATACACTCTATACAATACAATGGCTTTATTAATGTAGTCAGTACACTTAGCTGCAAGCTAGTTTCCAGGTGTGCCACGAAACAATAAAGAGTTAACAATAATTATGTTTACTTAAAAGTAACACAAAAAGTCTTTTCAAACAAATATATTTAAAATGGAACTGTTCAAGACCCTGTTTTCCCATTTAGAGAATTATAGATAATGATGATAATGATGATGATTTTTTTCTGTTAGGTTTAAACCAAGTGCTACCTGGAGTAGCCCAACTAGTTGAAGAAGTGCAAGTAGAGGGAACCTTCCCAGATGGAACAAAGTTGGTTAGTGTTATAATTTTAGGTTTTGCTATAATAATGTAAGTCTTGCCAAATCAACTTGCAACAAAGTGGAGCTTGAATGTGAGTCATATGTAATTTATAGAAGTTTACTTAATAGTGGTTATTAAAATTATATTTGAATCATTTTTGATTTTTCATTCACTGACAGGTGGGAAGTCATTATCACTTTGTAGAGGTGAACAAGTATCTTCAATTTGACAGAGCGGCTGCTTTTGGCATGAGGCTGGTAAGATTACTTGGGAATTTGATAACCATTTCATTCATTCATGCAGTCAAGTGCTGTTTTTGGTAAATCTTCTGATACTGCACCCAGTCAGTTGTTTGAGATCTAGATCTTGAGACATTCATCAAATTTGAATTGCTGTTCATGCTCTTTTTACATTTTAGAATATTGCGGCTGGGACTGCTGTTCGATTTGAACCAGGCGACACCAAAACAGTTGAACTTGTTGAGATTGCTGGGAACAGGTGAGCTCTGACATTTATAACTTCCTCACTTGAACATGAAGGATCTGATCTCTTGAAAGTAAATTATGATATAAACAGGGTTGTCAGGGTAAAAGACAGGGCAGATTTGTGATAGGGCATTACAAGCGTACATTTTAAATACCTAAACAAATGTATTATGTTATGGTCTGCTATATATTCTTACAAATATACTGGAAAGAAGTTAATTGTACTAAGTAGCAGCTGTATTAAATGCTAGACAGTTTCTTTTAAAATGTTCTTTTTTTGACTGTGTGTATTGTTAGAGTAATCCGAGGTGGCAATGGACTCGCTGACGGGCCTGTTAAACCAGAGGTCCTAGACCAGGTCATGAAGAAAGTGGCTCAACAAGGTTTTGCTCATAAACCACAGGTTGGCAGCAGTTTCTTAGTACCCATTTTTTAATCCTGGTGGAACTTCCACTAAAAAAGGACGGGTTCACTTGTGGGAAATTTCGAAAAGGACCCCAAGCTAAGGGGTACCAAGATCCTGTTTTGTGGGTGTGGCTTGAACATTTTTTTCACCCCTAAGAGGTAAGAATTCTAAAACAGCACATAACTGACAGGTCTGACGATAGCTGAGGTACCAACAACACTTTTTAACTGCTAAAAGGTATGATGAGCATCCTGGCCCTCTTTATGTGGGAGTCCCCCCCCCAGATTTTTAATATTTCTTGTGGTTTTCAGAACATCTCAAATAGTCTTTAATCTTGCTCACATTTGTATAATTTTAGTAGAAAAAAAATAATTATACTGGCATTCATCTATTTCTGTGGAAGATGCAGAGGCCTAGGATCATGTGTACTAAAGGCATCCAGGGTCGAGTGTTGATCGGTACCCTCGATCAATGCTCTCAATCAACACTTCATCAACACCTTGGTTGTCATTTGATCAACACCCGATCAACATCTCAGTTGACAGTCAGTCGAGAGTCGACTAATCTTCAATTGAAGCATATGAGTCGGTCGACACTCAGCCGATTATTGCCTAACTGTTGATCAAGTGTCGATCAAATGTCAACTGAGCATCGATTGGGATGTCAATTGAGTACTGATTGAGATGTTGATCAAGGGTATCGATCGAGAGTATTGATCGACACTCTACTGCGGATGCCTTTAATACAAATGATCCAAGGCCTGAAGCTTAGCGAGTTATGCTTTTTAATGAGAGGTTGAGGCTGGTAGGGTTTAAGTCTCTGTAGTCTTTCAGTACCTAGGGCTCTTGACTTTTCACTCTAATAAAAAATAAAATAAATAAATATACATTTATATAGCGCCATTTTCCACTAATTGTCCATGGCGCTTTACAATACTTTAAAATTAAAATCCTAATTCTTTAAAAACCTAAAATCCTAAATCCTAAAAGTTAAAATCCTTAAAATCCTTTTCTCACATTTTATAAAAGAATGGGAACTGGCAGACTGTTACCAAATGGTAATCTGACAAAAAATTCTGGAAGGAGGGAAGGGGCAGGGTAATCAGTGATAGACTAGCATCCCATCCTAAGGGAGTTGTCATCCTACAGAATCCAGGATAAGCAACTTTTTTTCAGTTTATACCTTTTTACATTTAACAATTTTTTGAACTCCTAGGATGATAAGGAGACTGGTATCAGCAATGCGACTATTAAACGAGAGTTGTACATTGAAATCTTTGGTCCTACTGTTGGAGACAAGGTTTGAATGCTGTTGATAATACATATCTTAATCATTGTCTTTTAGTTAATCTAGTTCAAGATTTGTGCCATATATAAAGAGTGATGTTTGACACGTTGAGTTCAGTATACACTCTGTAGTATTGAATAATTTGTGAAGAAGCTAGTGAATATACTTAATAGCCAATATATGTTGCAGTTAATAATTTTTTTAATCACCAAATGCTTTTTGGAACAATCCTGATATCATACATTTTTCAGTCAGTTTTTATAATTTTTTCATATCAAACTGTGGTACTGTTGTACATGGACATGTATCTTAAATTTGCCATGTACATGTAGGTTACCTTATTGTTCTCTAGGGACCAGAAAAAGTTTTTATTTTCAAGATGTTAATAAAAATTGTTTTGCATGTGGCTGGGACTATGACTTCTTGTTTCCTGTCTCTTGATAAATTTTAGTGACATGTAAATTTTTTGACCTAATTTTTTAAATTCAGATCTACCTTGGAGACAGTGCCCTTGTTATTGAAGTGGAGAGAGATTGCACTGTATACGGAGATGAGCTTAAGTTTGGAGGAGGAAAGGTAAAAATCTCCTGACAGAAACTGGAATTGTTGCAAGTAATCCTAATTTAAATTATAATAAATAGACTTAAAAAAAAAACAAACAATTTATTGTTAAATTGGTTTTTAATAACATTTATTGGCTTCTGACTGGATGTGCTGGTGTACACATGTGGGACCACACAATTTAGCCAAACCTGGACAATATCACTCAAAATCCATAAAAAATTTGAAAATCCTACACATTTGTTTCTGTAGGTTTTGAGGGAAGGCATGGGCCAGGCAGCAGATGTCACCCACAAAGATGCCCTGGATACAGTTATCACCAATGCTCTGATTGTAGATGCTGTTGCTGGTATCTTCAAGGCTGATGTAGGAATAAAGGTTTGTCCTATGAATCCAACTTCTGTTTTAACCCACAATTTTAAAATTGATGGAACTGACTGAGTGGTTACCCTGGGTAGGAGTAGGGTGGGGTACTCTACAAAGTTTTTTACGGGAAGGCTCCCCCCCCCTCCGAGGTTCAACTCCTTACTCTTTTGTATACCATTTTGACAGAATAGTTACCCCCTCTTCTTGTACCCTTTACAATACCACTCGAAAACCTCAAGCATTACCAGAAGAGATGATAACCGAAACAAAGGTTTCTTTTATTAAGTTCCTGTTCATATTATATCTAAATAACAGATTCATACTCTACTTGTAAAAACCCCTACCCTTTCATATACCCGAAGGCTGAAAAAGGTACTAACCCCTTTTGGATAGAGCCTCCCCTTAAAGGCCATTACCAGGATAATTGAGTTATTTAAAATTGTCAATTTTAAAAATAATTATATTTCTTGGAACAGTGTTTGTTTGTAAGGTGCCTTGTCATGAGCGGTGTTCATTAGCTTGACTATTTTTGTTGCCATTTTAGAATGGATTAATATCTGCCATTGGAAAAGGAGGTAACCCAGATGTCATGGCAGGAGTCACGGAGGTAAGTGTAACCATTCAATTTAAATTTACTTCAATTTTATTCGTAATCTGAGTGACAAATGTAAACTTATAATCAACGTAGTACATGTACAGTAATCTCTTAATCTTTCTCATCTTTTCTTCAAATGTAGATTTCATCAACTTTGCTGAAATTTAAGTTCTGAAGTAGAAAATTGCGAGTAGATTCCAACAGTTTTACAAACATAAGATTTGGTGCCGTTTTGACTATATTGTTACAATGTGACTCAAGACTCACCCAGAGTACTTTAAACACCGTTTTCAAATTTGCATGTGCCATCACTTCAACAACAGTTGTGGAATGTCCAATTAAATGCAGCTGTATTTTTTTTTATGTGGTAGGCTTTGTAGACAACAGGACTTATCTTCTGATAACTAATTTATTAGTTATTATAAGTAATTCATAGTTATTTTATGATAGGGAATGGTGTGTGGTGTCGGCACAGAAGTCATTGCTGGTGAAGGGCTTATCTTGACTGCAGGAGGTTTTGATGCCCACATTCACTTTACATGCCCACAACTTGCTGAAGAAGCTATCGCATCTGGACTGACGACTATGGTTGGAGGTGGAACAGGTACAGAACAAGAGATCAATTCGATGTTAACATATATGGTTTCTCTTCAAGCAGGGGTGGCCTAGCTGAGGGCTGTGATATAGGGGGCTAGGAATTGACCCTGCCAAAATTGCTAAAAAAAAGTACCTTTTTGAGAGTGTTGCTCTGAGACTAGACACAATATTAGTCTCTCAGTTCAAATTTGGTTCCTTTTTTTGTCATACATACCTTATTAAAGATGCAAAGACTGAAGTAAAAAAGTAATAAAATATGTCTGTAGAGAAAGTCATGAGGTTATCCCTATGTAAAGGACTTCCGAAAAAAATTTCAAGAAAAATCTTTATTTATAAATCATTTTCTTTGAGGAGTAAAATTAAAACCAAGTGTCTGAGCAAAATACAAAAATCCCAATTACTAGTAAAAATATATAAAATTATATTTTTTTGCAGGGCCTGCTACTGGTACATGTGCAACAACTTGCACCCCTGGACCAAACCACATCAAGTGAGTTGGCCATAGTGCACTTTCAGTTGGTGATACAATGCAATTCAGTATAGGATCTGTTAGTGTTGAACTAGCCAAGTTTAATACTGATGGTAATAACCTCTACATTACACAGTTAGCAATAACATCATTCTCTACCTAGAACCATGCACGTATAGTCTCACACAATGCCTCTGACTAATTAAACTTACAACTGCATGTATTACTAATTATTCACCTGTGAAGTAACTTTCAGTTCTGACAGCCTTCACTGTTCTACAGGTAGGCAAACAAATTGTTCTGTAAGTTTATCATCACTACATAAAAACACTATTGTCTGCACTTTCCAGGGCAATGATTCAAAGTACAGATGCATTTCCCCTTAACTTTGGTTTCACAGGTGAGTTGGAGTTTCTTCTTGTATTGTTGGGTGAGCCCATAGCTGTTTATTGTTTCACTAAACAAAAACTAAATGACCCAAGCAATGGTATGACTTGGACTGCTTGTATAAACAATATCCAGTCACTGACATGGTGATCAAGATCATTGAAAATATTAACACTTATTTGTGGGACACCTGCAGGGTAATGATCTTGCTCTCATGGTCAAGTCTCATCTGTAAGATTCTAAAGAAGCCAGAGATTGAGAAATTGTGGGAGAACTTTCAGCCCTTAAGCTGTGCTTGTGGAAGCAAAGAGAATTCAAAGTGCTAGAGAGCATGCATAGACTTCTTTTCCCCCATGCCTCCTCCAATTCCTGCTTTTTCTGCCAGACCTCCATCTTCTCTATAAACTGCCTCTTTGGTTGCTTGTGAGGCTAGCCTCATAACTGCTTAAATATATAATTTCAACACTGTTGTGGATTTGTACCTATGGACACATATCTATATCTAGGTTTTACTTTTAATGGCTAACAGTACAGAGCTTAAATTTGTTTAGTACACATTTCAGTAACTCTACTTCTTTATCTCTACACCAACTTTTAATTTCTACTTATTAGGAAAGGGAAACACATCTAAGTCCAGTGGTGTTGCAGAGGAGTTAGAAGAACAGATCAAAGCTGGTGCAATTGGGTGAGACTGCTATCTGCTACATTGATGATTACCAGAAATTGTCTTATCTACTAGTAGTAAGTAAGTATTATGGAATTTAAAACCCAAATATAACTTGAATTTTTTCTTAAGTTTGAAACTTCATGAGGACTGGGGAACAACTCCTGCTGCAATTGACTGTGCTCTGACTGCTGCTGAAAAACATGATGTGCAGGTGAGTCAGTTTTCCAGATCTGTTTTACCGTTGCTTGCATCTAAGCATGGACACCTGATGCCGAATCATGCTCTAATTGGGTGTCAAACATGGCATGATTGGTCATCAAACATTTGAAGTTTAGCAGACCGTAACGTGAACTTTTGTGCTCTGAAAGACTCTGTAAGTCTTGCTCCAGGCAATATTTTATGGTTATACTAGAAGTAAAACCACTCTCGCGAAAGGCGTGTACATATTGACACAGGTCAGGGTCAATTTCTTTGAAGAAGTCTTCAGTGTCCAATCTTTCACCATTTTGTGTGCTGAACTTTGAGCATGAAACTTCGCGTTACGGTCTGCTAAACTTCAAATGTTTGATGACCAATCATGCCATGTTTGATACCCAATTAGAGCGTGTTTTGGCGTCACGTGTCCATGCTTAGATGTAAGTGATGGTATTTTATGCAGTACTTATCTTTAAGCTACCCCCCCCCCCCCCCCCCCCCCC